CGCGGGAACCAGAGGCAGCGGGCAGCAGGGGTGCACCCTGGCTGGTCTCCCGTCTCCGGCCTCTCTATCCACACGCGGGAACTGGAGGCGCCTGGCCTGCATGTCGGGAGATTCTGGACCCCCTCCCGTGGGAAGATTTCCTCCCCCAAGGACACACCACCTTCAGGTCAGACACACCTGCCTGACCCCACATGTCACCTCTGCCCTACATGTCACAGCACCTTGTTTTTCCTCTGCAGGTGACAGTGACTGTCTCAGGCCAAGAGTCTCAGCCCTGGTCCCCTGAGGCAGCCACAGGTCCAGGCAGTTGAAACTGACCGTTGTTAAGGCCCCTGGGGAAGGCAGGCGGGAGCCCAGTGTGGATCAGGCGGATGAATAACGCCATGGCCCCCTAATGCACAGAGAGAAACAGGCAACGTCTCCTGCTTCCCGGAAGGCTGCCCAGAAGCACCCACACTCCAGCCCAAATCTGACCGGGTGCTGTGCTGGCCACACAGGAGCCCTCGCCATGTTTGGCTGATTCACTTAGATTATCAAGCTCCTGAGTCTAGCAGCCACATCCATGCTGCAGTTCAGATGGCACCGGCGGGCAGCGGGCAGCGGGTGGAGGGGGGAACGTTCTCACTGCAGAATGGAACATTCCAAAGGAAGGCACGTCCCAGGTGGAGGAGGTAGAGGCTCAGAGTCCGGAACACAGGAAGCCCCATGGAGCAGACAGCCACTGTCTTCAACACATGGTTTCAACAGGGAGAAGAGGGCAGAGGGTCCCTGGCACCTATGAGCCTACTAACCTGACAAACCAATGCCAAACAGACACAGACACGCCTGTGGACCCCAGGGAGATCTGGGCATGTGACAGAACACCTGTGGACAGCAAGGCCTTCCTGCTGATGCCTGGATGTGACCGTGGAGTATGCGTGTGTCATTTGGGGGGGTGCCTTTTATTTTAGAGGGGGTTACTCAGCTTCATGGAGGTGATAATATGATGTCCAGAAACCCCATGGAGCAGAGGGTGGGAGCAGGGCAGGAGGGAGTGGGTGAAACAAGACTGCACTTGTGGCTACACGCGGTGGCTCACGCCTGTAATCCCAACACTTCGGGAGACCAAGGTGGGCGGATCATCTGAGGTCAGGAGTTCCAGACCAGTCTGGCCAACATGGCGAAACCCCATCTCTACTAAAAATACAAAAATTAGCCGGGCATGGTGATACATGCCTGCAATCCCAGCTACTCAGGAGCCTGAGGCTGGAGAATGGCTTGAACCCAGGAAGCAGAGGTTGCAGTGAGCCAAGATTGTACCACTGCACTCCAGCCTGGGTGACAGAAGGAGACTCTGTCTAAAAAAAAAGGCTGTGCTTAAAGAAAAATTTAGTAACAAACGTCTCGTGGCACAGAAAGCCGGCCATCTAACCGCCACTCCGTCCTCCGTCACAGCAGGCGTGGCGGGGCAACAGCACTGCTGATCTTCCCAGACACAGGCTTTCTGCCTTTAACCTTGTATTTGAACTTCAGCCCCGGGGCTGCTGACCGTGCCACCCAACCATTTCCATCCAGGCTGATTATGATCCCAGCTGCCTATAATCCCAGTTACTTGGGAGGCTGAGGCAGGAGAATCCCTTGAACCTGGGAGGTGGAGGTGGCAGTGAGCCAAGATCGCGCCACTGCACTCCAGCCTGGGTGACAGAACAAGACTCGGCTCAAAAAAAAAAAAAAAAAGAAAGAAAGAAAGAAAAGATAAAGAAAGAAAATGGGTTGGGCAGTGGCTCTCGCCTGTAATCCCAGCACCTTGGGCAGCCAGAGCGGGAGGATTGCTTTAGCCCAGGAAGTCAGACCAGCCTGGGCAGCATAGTGAGACCCTGCGTCTACAAAAAATACAAAAATGAGCCAGGTGTCGGTGCATGCACCTGTGGTCCCAGCTGTAGTCTTAGTCCAGGCCGAGGCAGCAGGATCGCTTGAGCCTGGGAGGTCAGAGTTGCAGTGGGCCATGACTGCACACCTGCACTCCAGCCTGAGCAAGAGTGAAACCCTGTCTCAGAAAGAACGGAAGGTAGAAAGCGGTAGAAGACGGCTCCCACAGCCAACACAGAGACCTGGGCCAGGGAGGGCGTGCGGGTCGGAGAGGAGGCCGGCTGCTGGAAGAGGTCAAGCATGAACCTGCAGATGAATAACAGGGGGGCCACCACAGGCCGTGTGGGGCGGGTCCCTCCACTTCTTGTCACCGTCACATGAGAAACTGTATTTCCCCAGCTCCATCAGTGAGATGGAGGGTGTGCCCTGAAACCTCAGGGAGGAAGACCTCTAACTGCTAACACCCACTGGGCATGGTGGCGCGTCCTGTAATCCCAGCACTTTAGGAGGCTGAGGCAGGCGGATCACGAGGTCAGGAGTTCAAGACCAGCCTGGCTAACCCAGGGAAACCGTCTCTACTAAAAATACAAAAATTAGCCAGGCATGGTGGGGCCTGCCTGTAATTCCAGCTACCCGGGAGGTTGACGCCGGAGGATTGCTTGAACCCAGGAAGCAGAGGTTGCAGTGAACTGAGATCGTGCCACTGCACTCCAGCCTGGGTGACAGAGCCAGGCTCTTTCTTAATCAATCAATCAATACATACATGCATACATACTGACGCCGTCAACACAGCAGGCAGATGTTGCAATAGGCAGCCCTGTGGTAGTCCCTGACCGCCGGAGAACGGGAACACGTGGCCCTGCCAGGCACCCCCGCAGGCAGCCGGTGCAGGGCAGCCTACCCAGTCCATGGGCGCTCACCTCCTACGCGCGCTCTCACCCTGTCCACGTGCGCGCTCACCCTGTCCTCACGCTGTCCACGTGCGCGCTCACCCTGTCCTCACCCAGTCCGCGCGCGCGCTCACCCAGTCCGCGCGCGCGCTCACCTTGTCCACGTGCGCGCTCACCATGTCGCGCGCTCACCCTGTCCTCAC